AAGACTTAGGACCCAGGGAGGTGGGTGGGGGTCAGCATTTGTGGGACTGGAGTGACTATCTGGTGAGCTGGGCAGGAACCAGGGCCACATGGCGGGTGGCTGCTGGAGCTCGGCTGTGGTGCGGTTGCTCTGGGACTGGGGTGCACCCTGAGTGCATGGCTGGGGGCTGCCAGAGCTGGAGACTGGGCTGCTGTGCAGCAGCTCTGGGGGCCAGGGCTGGAGTGGACCCCGGCCACCTGAGCCGCCGCACCGCAGTCTGGCTCCAGCTCCGGCTGCCACCATGTGGTGGGCGGTTGCCAGTGACGAAGCCGGCTGTTGTGCAGCGGCTCTGGAGCAGCACCACAACCTGGCTCCCCTGGGAAAGCAGCGCCCAGCTCCGAGCGCACCGGTGGGCAGCCTGAGCCGGAAGCGAGTGCTTAAAGCGCCCTTCCTGAACGGCTAGTCGGTGGGAATTCCGTCGACTACTCAACTAGTAAATGAATCGATACCTAACATCCTTAGCAGCAGAAGTCCCATTAACTGAAGTGTGTGGGTGCAGTGATTCATCGATGCTGTTATTAATCGGGTCAGTTATCAGTAATATTACTGTGTATATTTGCAGCCATGCCAGTGGGCACTCCTGCACAGCTTTGAGTGCTTGCTCTGAGGTTTGGTGGAGTTTGGCTCTTTGGTTGGAAGAGGTGCCAGGCCCTGCCCAAGGTTTCTCCCTGACCTTTTCTGGCCTGAATTTTCTTTGGTCCCCGCTCTTGTTAATCCTGTGAGTGTGTCAGCCCCCCCAGCAGCGAGGGCTTTAGCAGTCTTTGTGCTCTTAGATTCTGAGGGGCTCCAAAGTTAGCCATGGGGGAGAACAAAAACTGAGCAGCCCCCAGGGACAGAAGTGCTGTCCATGGACACTGGGCAAGTCACATGAGCAGGGAAGTTGTGGGAACACTGTCCTGTTCACTGCCTCTCACCAAATCATTCCTTCCCCCTTTCCGGCTTCCTTGGCTGGGCTGCTTTATAGTTTGGCATTTGGTTGAGAGCTCCCAGCACAGCATTTGAAGTGACAAGGAAACTTGAAAGCAGTGTCGCCTCCTCTGAAGTGCTGCTGGGCAGTGCAGGCAAACAGACTTGAAAGGAAACAACCCGTCCCTTGCCCAGCCTGGCCCACTTGCTTCAGTCATTTGGCCTGGTGAAAGCGTTGCCATGGCGAATTTGAGGGTGGTGACTTCTGGGTAGGGGAATTGAGGACTTTCAAGAGACATTAACAAAAGGGTGGATTATGAATTGTTTGGATGACTTACAGATATTACTGTTGTATGAAGTTCCCCAGTTTCCTCTCTGTGGTTAGTTTCTCCTGTGACTAGATCTGTCTCTCACAGTCATGTATGGAGAGCGGAGCTTTAAAAACAGAGGGAAAGCAACCCCAATCAGGCAGAGGGCGCTCAGAAGCAGGGTTAGTAGCCATCACTGCTTTTACTTAGGTTTTAAAAAATGACAAGATCCTAATGATTTAGCTGCCAGGAAATGCCTGGCTCTGAAGTCACAGCTGTTACAAATTCCACCACCTGACTAAATGAAGGAAATACAATTGTGGTTCTGGTTTTACTCATGCTTTTAGCAATGTTGTCTTAGCAGTCAAAAGCCTGTATGTTAACGTGGGAACATTGATTTCGTTCTCTGTGCTCTGGTAAGTGCACAGTGGAGCTTCTCTGTTAAAGGTGAGAGCAAACTTCTCCTTCATGGCACCATGGGACTCAGATGGGAGAGTCCCGTGTCTTTTCAGCAATCTTAAGCCCAACAGTTTTATTCTTAAAAAAAGCATATAGAGTGAAGTGTGACCTTCAGAGATGTAGAATCCCAATTAGTTAGTTAAATGTTAGGCTAACGTGACATTGAAATGGTTAACCAAATAAACAGGCCCCGTGTCTGGGGCGGCGGCGGCTGCTGCTGCTGCTGCTGGCAGAGCCTCCCAGCTCTGGACCCGGGCTATGGCTGTTGCTGGTTCCCAGCCCTTATGGGGCAGCCCTCCATGGGGCCTTCCATGGAACTGATTAACGTCACCCAGTAGGGGTGATGCTTACCAGTTAACTGGTCACATCTCCCCTGACTCCTGCCATCCAGAGTGAACAAAGTGAATTTGGTTCCAATTGTGACATAACAGGAACATGGGTTACATCAAATCTTGGACGTACCTCTGAGGAGGACATGTGGGCTGCTGACTATTAATAGCGAATGAAAAACTTGAGGGCCTAGGCAGATGGCTTAGTAATTCAGGACATCTCTTCTGCCCTGCCCACCCCATCCTTACTGAAATTGGCTCGTTCCACTTGCCAACAGCCTGAGTGAGTTCTCTGTGCACTGAGACTTTGTCTGTACAATGACTTGATACGCGCTGACCCAGACAACTGATTTCATCTTTGCGTGTGCGTGTGTCGGAGTTGGCATTATGAAACTATAGAACATCTTGACTTATGACCCTTTTAATGGGAAAGCCAGTTGCTAACAGTCGTGCTGGTGCACAGGTGTTATTCACAAAGTGGTGCGCTCAAAAACAAGCCCCAACTGTCTGAGAACTTACAAATTGGGTAGGAACAGGCCCCAGGCCTAGTGCTCATTTGCTCCTGTGCCGATGAGGCTGACTCCGATTTGGCGGGGAAAGGATGGAAAATGACACTTTCTGGCTCGGGTTGACCTCTCTCCTGAAGAGCGCAAGAGGGGATTCTGTATACAGCCTCGGGCGCCCCTCGCTCTTGCCCCCACGCCACTACTCACTGAAACAGCAGCCAGAGACTGGATGGCCAAGAGCTAGACAGATTTGCTGGTTTCCTTCTTCAGACAAGCTAACTTTATCCTGAGAAACAATTTAACCTGAAAACTGGAATTTCTGAACACACACAAGATCGCCAATAGCCTGTTCCTGGCTAGAAGTGAATTCTCTTGGTTGCAGCGTCTAAGGAGGTAGGCAATTCAAAAAAGAAAAGCCCTGCCTGGCAGGCACAATAAGTCATATTAAATACAAAGGCTCTCTGCACAAGCTACCTCACTTCAAATTCCCTTCCATTTTGTCAACGATGCTCCTCAAAATACCCCCCACCACCACCCAGTCTGGCAAGGGTCAAATGGAAAAGCCCGCTGCCATAGGGGCCATAAAGCCTATTCATAGCAAAGGAGAAATGCTTTACATTACTGAACGGTTGCTTCTCCAAACGATCAAGCTGCAGTGTTAATATCAAAGTCACGTAGGCCTCAGACAGCATCAGCCTGACGTTGGGCCATGAAAGATACTGGACCAGTGGTTTTCAGTCTTCACTCGTGGAGCCTTAAAATTGGAATGAAGGTGCAGACCCCTTTGGAAATTCTACCCTGTGGATCCCCAGGGGTTTACAAACTGTGGTCCAGCAAAAGTCCCACACCCTTCCTGCTTTCCTGTCCTCTCCTCACGCACAAAGGCATGTGAAACACTTAGGGTGCTTCGGGCTGGATATCTATAGACTGACTCTAGGGCGGTCACTCTGAAGTGTAGAATGTTTGTTGGGTCGGCAGGAAGTGATGGGAACAGTTATGAGGATGGCTGAAAGCTCTTTTGTTCAGAGTACCATCAGGTGCCACCACCACTGGGATACAGAGCCTGCCACCGTCCAATGTTAAGTTCTCAGCCATTCAGCTTTGCGAATTACACCCATGCATCAGCAAGGCACGTATCTGCGCCATGCTGAGAGTGTAACAGCCAATTATTGGCCTTCTCAACAACTGATTTGCACATGATCATTTCATTGGCTGCATGAGGGAGACTTCATAGATGGTGGATGACTGTGCTCCAGTGCTGTGGGGCTTGAAAGCTTGTCTCTCTCTGGTAGAAGCTGGCCCAGTAAGAGAGATTACGTCTCCCACCTTGTGTGTCTATACAGCACGTGCCTGTCCGTCCTGCCAGCCCTGCCCCCTGTTGCATTGCATGCATGGAGCGAGAGGCTCTGTGATTGTGTGGCAGGAGTGGGGCCCATCCCGGGGGTGAGAGGAAGAGACCTGACCCCAAGGAGGTCAGGTTGTTTGCTCACCTGACCTGAACCAAATGCTTGTCGTCTGGTCCCGTCATGGCCGGGTCTCAGGGCTCTGCTTTGCTGTTCATCTTAAATGAGCTCTTCTATGCAGTGACATAAACAAATGTCCCTCCGAAGAAAACTGTGTGTTGAGCTGATGACGAAATCCATCTCTTCTAACTCAGGACTGTGCTATGCCACTAGCCCATGTTTCACCCCCATCTTACGGGGTTAGTCTGCTGGTCCGATCAGATGTTCAGAATTGATCCTTCTCCCACTGTTAAATCGGTTGTTGAACTACATCTTGAAATGGCTACATGTGAAATCTCTGCCTATTCCAGTTTAAATTCACTAAAAATTAGGTTGTAAGTTAATTGTGTATAACCCTGCAGTGGACTAGACCTGTGGACTAGCCCTTCCTAGCTTGGATGTCCAAGACTAGAAGCCCCAAATATATATTTTGGGTCTTGGCTTCTTTACACGTTAGAGTTTCAAGTTCCATCTCCTTGCAATTAGTGGGTGCCCTCTCAAATGCTGAGAACCAGAAATTTGCTCTAAAAGCCCTTCCAGATGGGAATGATGGTTTTATGAACAGAGTTTTGAGTCAAATATTCATACTGTATGAGCACATGCCCCATCATCACTGTTCAAATGGCTTGAGGTTTCCAAATAATAAGCAGAAATTCCACTTCACAGAGCCGTGGAGTAAGAGCTGTCCATGGTTCGCTGTGCAGAGCCTTCAGTTGCTGTTCCATTAGAAACGGTTGATTATTATTTTTTTTTTTGGCAAGTGTTTTGGTTGAAGATTACTCAGGCACACTGATTTGGGTATTTTCCTTGGGAGTGAGTGAAAAGACTGCCTCTCCCAAGCGGTGTGCATCATCAGTTGCTGACATGAGTAGCCGTCACATGGGTGTGGGGTCTGTTCCAGCACAGCTAGCATTGTGGCGAAGCTATCTTCCTCTCTAATTCCTCTTCCAGCTTCAAACACTGATTCAAGAGACTGACCCTGGTGCAGATTATCGCATTGACAGAGCTTTGAATGAGGCTTGCGAATCCGTGATACAGACAGCCTGCAAACACATACGATCTGGAGATCCAATGTAGGTGGCTATTTCATAATCCCAGTGGGCTTTACTGTCACTACTGTGTGTGTGCCGTGTTCACTTGAGTGACCAAAATAGATACTAACCAGCCAAACAAACTCCTACGAAATCTGGCACGGGTACCACAATTTATACAGCACCTAGAAGTGAGGCCCAGGCTGTATGCAGCTCTTGTGGTAGATCATGCTGAATTTTTGTCAGAGGCCCATCATAGCATTAACAAGATTTAGCCATTGCAGTTTGAACTTCTATCATTTGATGTGCCATGTTCTGTCATTACACAAACCTTCGGTGTCAGTTGTCTGAGGAATGCAGTAAAAGTTTCAACAGGTTTTTGAGAGAGAAGGAAATCCAAAATGGAGAGACAAGTGTCTTATTTATACCTTCTGAGCCAAATACATAATGCAGTGGTCCCCAACGCGGTGCCTGGCCGGCCTGAGCCATTCTTGCGCCCTGGGCGCCTGTCAGCCCCAAAAGGTTGGGTACCACTGATATAATGTGATGCTCTTGCTGAATTTAACTGTCATCAGCACAGCTGAATCTAGTTCATACAGACTGTGGGATTTAATGCCGCACACATGGGAGTATAACTATTTTAACCCTTTACAGTGTGGTTTGCACCTCTTACTAGCCAAAATGAGTCTATGGAAAGGCAGATCAGCTGCGTGTGGAATCAGTGCAGTAACTGATACGTGGTCATAGCATGGCCCCTCTTATTTTCTTCTCTCTCGATGCTTGGCCCTGCTCAGGATCCTGTCGTGCCTCATGGAACACTTGTACACGGAGAAGATGGTGGAGGACTGTGAACACCGGCTGCTGGAGCTGCAGTACTTTATTTCTCGGGATTGGAAGTGAGTATTGGGAAACAGAGGGTTAGGCACATCAGCTGTGCCAGGTAAGCAGCCCCTGGCGTACCCCGGGTGCTTTCCATAGCTCAGCAAGGGAAGTGACACCCGACTGACCAGCATGTTTCTGCCCTGGAAACTTGGCTCCTCATCTCCTTGTCCAGTGCAAAGGAAGCCAGAGCTGCTGAGGGACCTCCTGCCTCTGTTGAGCTAGAGGCTCAGCTTTCCCACCACGGTGTCCTTAGTTGGAGCAGAGGCTTAGCGTGCACAGAACTGCACGCTGTTCCTTACCATGTTTCGGACCCCATGCACTTGGGAGGGAATGCTCTTGAGTAGCGAGGGGTGGGTGCTCCTTTCAAAACCTTGCTACTCAGTAGAGAGGGTTCACTGTTTTGTGAGAGGGTCCTGTTCTCTGTGGAGTGTGCAGTGCTGCCTTTCCTGCCGTAACAAGGAGTCTGGAGGCACCTTAGTCTAACAATGTTGTTAGGGCATCAACTTGTTAGTCTGTAAGGTGCCGCTGGACTCTGAAGCAGACTAACATGGCTGCCTCTTTGCCACCATTCCTGCCTTGTCTCATCCCCCCAAATCCCTGGAGCCAAGGCTTTCCAGCCAGTGTGGACTAGGTGCAATTCTTTTTGGAGTTGTTTATTTGGCCAGAGTGTCTCCAGTCAGACACATTGAATTGTCTCTTCCTTCCCTACCTTCCTTGGTGGCTGCATTCTTTGCTTGGGCCACACTTCCAGCTCAGGGTGTGAAAGGTTAACCTTAGTGAGTGCTGCTCACCAGTTCTGGTTAGTAGGTGGGGGCCAGAGCAGCTATCTGCCTGCCGGGGGCAGAGGGCTGCTCCTGACCCACCACAGAAAGAGGCTGCTCTGGTTGGGTTGGAGCAGCCTCTGTCACGGGCCAATCCGGAACAGCCTCTGTCTGCAGCAGTTAACCTATGAAACGGGATTTTACGTTCCTACTTCCAGGAAGGATTTACTCGTTTGAACCAAGCTGCTTGATTAACTCCTTTTGTTAACTAACCTGTATTTGACCCTCATGCTGTTTGAACAAAGTCCATTCCAACTCACGCCCTAAGTGGACAGATGGTGCCCAGCCTTTCGTGTTGCTCACACCGTTCTGTGAGCAGGCTAATGAAAGGGCAGTGTAATTCCCTGGGCGGGCCGGCAGCATGGAAGCCTTGCATGATTTATTTTTCTTACTGCTTCTTAAAAGCAAGTGTTTGCAGAACTGTTTAGTTTGTAGCTCTCCTCCCTGCCCTTCCGAAATGCCTTGAAAGCCTGAGGCTATTTGTAACCCTCACCACTAAAGCTCACTGCATTTCCATTCCAGACGGCTCACCCGCCAATCCCTCATTTTGGTGCAATGGCTAAACATTTCCTCAGTGGAGCCCATGCCATGCCCGCAAAGCAGGGACACTGGGCCTCCCTCAGCCCTGCCACCACAAATCAGAACTGACTGTGGTTAACTGGAACCAAATCTGCTTCCTGAAAACCTGACTGACTTCAAGATGGAAATAATGGTACTTTGGAGCTGGAGAAGCTCTTTAAGCAAGTCTAGTGTGTCCTGGCTTTGCTTGGCCTGCTGGCCACCCCAGGAGCTGATTTTCTCCGACTTTGCTCAGTGCACAATGTCAGCCTCGTTGGATCGGGATCGGAGATCTTGTGGGGAAACAGGCGCTTCTGGAAGTGATGTAGTTGATTGGTTCAGTAAATCTTCTTTACAAGTCAGTACTAGAGCAACCTCCTTGCGTGGTAGGGGAGCCTGTGCTGCTGGAGGGGTCAGTTGGGGCAGATGGTATACAGTCAGGTCTGTAGAGATCAGTGATGCCAGAACTCTTGTTGCAGGAGTAAGGACTTTGATTCCAGACTGTTCTATCGTGTGGCAGTTACAAAGTACTCCTGCTTCAGAGTGGATCTGTCCACTTCATGAACCTTTCTGTGGGTTCTGTACATGAACGTGGATAAAGCATTTGGGAGCTGCCGAGGGGTGCAGAGTGCTGTGGTGATGATGACTTCTTTTTGTCTTCTCCAGATTGGATCCAGTCCTTTACCGCAAATGTCAGGGCGACGCGTCTCGACTCTGTCACACACATGGCTGGAATGAGAGTACCAGTGACCTGATGCCTACAGGGGCTGTCTTCTCCTGCTTGTATCGACATGCCTACCGCACAGAGGAGCAGGGAAGGAGGGTACGCACTCATTCTCGCCATCTGTTGGAGGTGGCTGCGCGTCGGTAGCCTGTCATGCCACACTGACACAGTAAAACTAGCTAGACAAGGCAGTTGCTTTGGTTATTTACTGCCACAGCGCAGAGATCCTTACCGGCAGTGTTCCTCCATGCACATGTCTGCAGTGGAAAGAGGCAAAACTCAGTGCCTCACCAGTGGAGTTGCCATCTTGAGGCATTTGTTCAAGGAGTTGAATTAGTGTTGAGACCCGAGAGCCCAGTGCTCACTGTGTGCATAGGCACTATGTAAAAGCCTCTAGCAAATCACGTGACTGCCATAGGCTCCAGCCAGCTCAGCTGTCAAATTTCTTCTATACAAAAAATCCTTCTATCGTAAATGCTGGGCTGTTCTCAAACTGGGATCTGACTGCTCAGAGCAACTTGCTTTGGTTTACACGATCTATTAAGAAGGTCTCTGTAGTGATGACACACACTACACTTTGAACCCCGCGTGGCAGCAACCTTCATGCATTTCCCAGTACAACTTACAACTAGAACACAGTGAAGATTTGACTCGCTGCACTGCCTCTTTGGGAATGTGCCATGATAAACGTCTGACAGCTGTTCATTGGGCTAAGCCGTTTGCTGCCCTCTAGTGTCTTTGGGGGACTGAGCCTCTTGGGACCTCAAAGGTCCTTCGGCTGCTTTGGTTGTTGCACTGTAGGGTGCAGCTCCAGAGAGCTGGGGTGGGATTATGCAACGGTCTTGCTTCCAAAATAATACTCTAGAGCCTCATGTAAATTGCTTTATGATGGAGAGGTCAAATATGAATCAGAAGTTCCTTCCTTGTAGGGAGGGAATCTTTCATTCAGTGGTTTCCAGTTCAGCTTCTGGTGCCATGAGCTGGGCTCTTCATCGTAATGCATTGTGTGAGTGCTAACCCCAGGAATCCAGGCCCACTGCAAATGATCTAACAGTTGAGGGGAGAAGGTCTGTATCTGTGGGAAGCAGGTGTGTCGTTTTGCAATTTAGTGTCAGTAAGTAGAGCTGTATGTCACGCTTTGGTGCAGTAGTTACCTATATACATATCCTACCTGGTCCTTCCCTAATTTCCAGTAAGTAGCACTCACCACGTGGTGTGAAACTTCCAGCACTCCATGCCTGCCAGGTATAACTCTGCCAGTGCATCTTGTACCTGAGTTGCAGCATATCCTGCTCTTCCAGTCCTCAGTCCTAACCAGTATCACCGCCTGCTGTGGCTGTCCTGCGCCCTTCCTCAGTGAGCAACTCTACTTCAGTCTTGAGAGCAACACAGAGGAAGTGGCAGGACACGTTGGGCAAGGATATGGACTGCCTGTCATAAACTGAGTTATGGGCGTCTCCAGATTCAGAGTGTCCTCTAGAATAACAGACCTCTTGTCACGTGTAAGGCAGCAGGGTCCTTTTGGCCAACACGGAGGCCCATTCAGCTTTCAGTACAGGATTTGTTGTTGGCTACTCCATGCCACAAGATCATGGACCCCCTTTGGAGTTCAGGCCACTGGCTGGTAGAGGCCAATTTATCATGGAGCTAATGCTCTCTGAGCTACAGAGAATGATTTACTGTCACCACAGGTTAGGAAGAAGAGAAATTTCCTGTCACTCCCCATGGCGCATCCATCTTAGTAACTGAACAGATCACTTGGCAGGGCGCAGCTGCACATCTGTCTGTGCCTTTTAACCCTCTCTGTGCTCCCTGTGCAGCTGTCACGTGAGTGCAGAGCAGAAGTGCAGCGAATCCTTCACCAGCGTGCAATGGACGTGAAGCTGGATCCCACCCTCCAGGACAAGTGCATGATTGACCTGGGGAAATGGTGCAGTGAAAAAACAGAGACGGGACAGGTACTGTGCATGGCTGTCACTCTCACTACAAATGCCTTTTGGTGTGGGGAGGAAGGAAACCCTGCTGACAGGTCTTGAGTCTTTATGTTCCGAGCTTACAAATGTTGATTGTCTCTAAATCCCCCAGGCACATGGTGAGAAATCAAACGTAGAGTAGACAAATAGACCTGGGTTGTAATGTCTGTCTTTGAAAAGGAAGCTCCACAGCTTGGAAGTTGCCTTGTAGAAGAGATCGGAATGCCTAATATGAGATGATAGTTAACACCCTGGGCTCTCCTCTGAAGCAGCAGCTTATCTTTTATTTCAACTCATATTTGCAATATCCTGTTACAAGCTTGACATTTATTTTCCCCACAAACGTTGTCCCATTTCCGCTTGGCAAATATTGACAGGTTTCCTGGGTTTGAAAAGAGCTGAAATTAACATCTGCTGCTCTTTAGCTAGACTCCAACAGAGAGTTCTCTTCTATTTAATCATTTGTGCACTAGCATAGCTCTGGGGAGAGAGCTGTTACTTAGTGTGTGCTAAGGAGAGCACATCGCTCCTATTTTTAAGTGTTCCTCACTGGTAGATTTTGGTAGTGTGTGGAGGGAGAGGTGTCGCTTCCTGGCATAAAGCAATTTCCATCCTAGACAGAGTTTAGAGCCTGGTTTGATGGCTCCTGGCACCCACACTGAGCAAATTGTTCCAGCTCCCCATTTGGGAGGTTCATCCCACTCAGCAAAGAGCATCCCATCAGACAAAATATCCCTGCATGTGGAGGTCCAGTCTAGCATGGCATTCCTAGTAGTGTCTGACTTGATGCATGCAAGAAATTGAAACTAAATTTGAACATTCAGATGCAGTTTATTGCATTTTGTTCTAAATGTGGTTAGCTTAAAAAAAAAAAAAGTTTTTCCACTTAAAAATAAGACTGAGTGGAAGGAGGCTCATTTTCATCCAGAAATGTTTTTTCTTTAAAGCAGAAAAATGTAAAATATCTAATACTCAGAAATGTTGTTTGGATTCAGGACCATTACCATTGAAAAGACAAAACTTGTATCTTGTGGGTAGTGGAAAATCCATAGATCAAAATAAACATTTTTCATCACTTTCAACTAGCTCATTGCCTGTGTTGAGGCAGTGTGGCCTAGACCGGCAAAGGGCTGGGAGGTTGGAAGTTTGAGTTGTACTGTGTCCGCTTGTGCAAACTGCTTTCTTTGTGTGTCTCAGCTTAGCCTATCTATAAAACGCAAAGACCAGCAGCCCCAGCGCTTCTGACCCAGGGAAGCCACCAGATGGTTACTGCAAGCATCAAAAGAGCAGGAAATTTTAAACATTAAAGATTTTCCTGGTTCATTTTTGTATAATCTCATCCCCAGGAAGGCAAGTGGAAAAGAAAACCACACAGAAAAGTGCACTAGCACCACAAGACTAATTTTTGAAATATTCTATAGCTAAAGCCCTTCATCTAAAAAAATCTGTTACTTTCTCAAAAAATATCTATCTGGCTTCAAGATTAAACTAGATGGGTTTATGAAGGGGATGGTTTGATGAGATAACATGATCTTGGTAACTAATTGACCATTCATTATCAGAGGTAAATAGGTCAATGGATGGATGATAGGAGTTACTATAGAGAACTTTCTGGATGTCTGGCTGGTGAGTCTTGCCCACATGCTCAGGGTTTAGCTGATCGCCATATTTGGGGTTGGGAAGGAATTTTCCTCCAGGGTAGATTGGCAGAGGCCCTGGAGGTTTTTCGCCTTCCTCTGTAGCATGGGGTACAGATCAAAGCTGGAGGATTCTCTGTATCTTGGGGTCTTCAGAGTATTTGAAGGCTTCAGTATCTGAGATATAGGTGAGAGGATTATTCTAGGAGAGGGTGGGTGAGATTCTGTGGCCTGCATTGTGCAGGGGGTCAGACTAGATGATCATAATGGTCCCTTCTGACCTTAAAGTCTATGAGTCTGTCTAGCACAGCACCTTGGTAATCTTGCAACTCTGAGTTGACCTGAACAACTGGGACTTTGCTGAGGCAGTGTTTAATTCTCAGCCAGCCAGCACAGATAGGGCAGTGTGGCTGTCAGGGATCCTTTGCTTGCTGAGCTGTTGTATGTATCCTCATTTCTCTGGCACAGGCTCTGAGTTTTTAGAATCTCGTCACACATTAAGATGACTTGTTTCTCTGTAGGAACTTGAATGCCTCCAGGACCATCTTGATGACTTGGTGGTGGATTGCAGAGACATTGTAGGAAACCTCACTGAGCTGGAGTCTGAGGTGAGCAGTTTGCGGGTCTGAGACATTGCCCGTCTCTGAGAACTCCTGAACGGTAGGAGCTAGGATCCTGTGCGGCAGGCAGCTTCCTCTTCTCCTCCCTTAAAGCAAGGTCAGGCCGTGGTTGTCAGGACCATGGGGCGTGCCTAGAATGAGAGTGCATCTCCTCAGATGGAAAGGGAGGGCTGTGATCCCAAATGACCATGGATGGGGAGGGCAGGGCAGCAAGCCTGGGGGACAGTTATAACCCTGAAAGACCCCCTTGGGACAGCAAGAGCCCCAACTCCAGGAGCAGCCATCACCTGGGGATTTGCAGTGGGCTGTATGCAGTGCCACAGCGCAAGTGGAGAGGGTGCTAGGGCCAGCACACCTGTCCTTTTGCAGAAAGGAATGTGAGACCTCAAATGGCCCAGGTGTGCTCAGCAGCTCAGATTTTGGTCTTTGTCCAAAAGCAAGTGCAGAAGCACCTGTCTGGTGATTGACTGGCAGCAGCGTTGGGTCCTGCATGCTGGGGAGAGCATGTGGCGTCAGCAGCAGCCCAGATATTCCCTGAGTGCCTTGCAGCTCGCCATTGGCTCGGTTTCATACCTGACAAGCTCTCTGCTCTCAGGGCTGTTGCTTCCAGCCCATGTTGTTGAAAACCGCCACTAAGGTGCAGCTCAGTGCAGCTGTAACAGCATCTGGAATGAGTTCCTCCTAGCAAGACTGCACTGGCTGATCTAGATGGGTGGGTGGGGCTTCTCCCGCACACTTGGCTGGGGGGGCGCAGTGTGACTGCAAGTGCCAAAGGGCAAGGCTGTCTGGATTTCATCCGAACAAAATAGCAGAAACTCAGGTGGAGAGCTCGGCTTGGAGCACAGGTTTCAGCACCTTTTAAAGCATGAACAGCGTCTTCCCCTTATGGCTGTGTGGTTGGCTGTGCGGTTGTTACGGGAGCTGAGCATTGCCTGTCACTTCTGCAGGATATTCAGATTGAAGCCTTGCTGATGAGAGCGTGCGAGCCCATCATTCAGACTTTCTGCCACGTAAGTTCTTGCGATAGTCGGGGCGCCCCAGGGAAATGAGGAGTGTGCGGGCAAGGTTAGAATCTTCATTGTTCAAGCATAATTGGAAGTACCAGACCCAGGTGCCAGACTGAATGCTAATATAAATGGCTGTAGTTAGTGATGCGTGTGTGCCTTGCATGTGTGTTGTTGAAGGACAAAAGCTGAGAGACCACCCAAACCCAGTTTGTGATGCCAGAACTGCACTCTGGGATATATTGCCTTGCAGTAATTTATTGAGCTAGGACTAGCTAGCCATTTGTGGATATAGGGGTTCCATAAAAACATACCTCTGAGCCCCAGGACAATTGTTCAGAGCAAAAAAAAAAAAAAGCAGGCAAGATGACTGAATTATGTAGCTAATAGCCAGCTGAATCCAAAGGCTTTTAATTTCATCCAGGGTGTCTGCTGTTCTGCAATTCCTTGTCCCGGGAGCCAAGGAACAAGGCCCTGTCATTCAAATGCCACTGTGTTTATTTTGGGTCAGAACCCCAGTTCCACAGTAGCAGACTCCCCCTGTGGCTCTGCTCCCTTCCTGAGGCTCTTGTGGCTCTCAGCTGCACTGCATTATTGTGGTATCTATTAGTCACAGTTTAGGATAAGCAGGTGGCCACACAGCTGTTAGTTCTGTGTGTGTGTGTGTGTGTGTGTGTGTGTGTGCGCGTGTGCGTGCGTGCGCCTCTTTCCACTGTTGGATATCTAAGTATCTACAGAGGGATTCATATTAATTCTTGCACAAAAATTTCTGAGGTGGGTTAGCACCATGCCCCTTCCTATTTCCGCAGGAGATGGCTGATAACCAGATAGACTCTGGGGACTTGATGGAGTGTTTGATTCAGAACAAGCACCAGAAGGAGATGAATGAGAAGTGTGCCATTGGAGTCACTCATTTCCAGCTGGTGAGCAATTACTTGCCTTCTCACACCGTACCCCTTATACCATCTCACTTTGCCAGGGACCGTTGGGTCCCCCCTTCAAGAGCCACAACCCAGAGCAGCTGTTGCGAATTCAGTTCGTAAGTCTGAGCCATCCTTTCACATCAATATACGTCTTGCCAGCAATGTTCACTTTCGGATGTGAGCGCTAATCCTTGTGATGCCCCCGCCCCTCGAGGCCAGGTCCGGTGTGGATTACTTTCAGCAGTGGTTTGGGTGGATGTTTTTCTGTGTTGTTCAGCAGTTAGCTGTTGTCTGAGCAGCCTGGAATTCCTGTGCGTGACAAGGAAGTGGGCAGCTTCTGTAGGGATTCTTTTCAGTGCCCTTGGCTTTGGCTCCTACTCTGTTCTCTAGGCAGTCTAGCTTTCCAGTGTGCACATCTGGCTGCCATGCTGTCTAGCAAAAATAACTCGGGGGTGCCCAGAGTCCCTGTTCCCAGGTAGGTGACCAGGGCCACACTCACCTCTGAGCTCTTGGCAGGGCAGTAGTTGGCAAGTAGTAGGTGTTTGAGGTGACCACCCTACCTGTAAGGGGTAGAAACTTACCTTGTAAGCAAAGACAGTGGAGATACTGGGGCCAGGTTCTGCAGTTGAGCACACTGCAATTCCAGGGGATGCAGGGCCTGGGACAACCCCTTTCTTTCTCCGGGCTCTGCCCCCATCCCTCCCCTTCTCTTAAGTCTCTTCCCCTAGGTGATGCAGGGAGCCAGTGGAGCAGGCTAGGGCTGGGTCACTCAGCTTCCTGCCGGCACTGGTGAGCGCAGGGGTGGGCCCACCTCCTGCTGCTGCTGCTAATACCCCAGGGTGCTTCCACGTCCTCCTGAAACCCTGCACGGGCTCTGCATGGAATACTTGGGTTCCTGAAGCCTCTTGGGCCTTTGTGGTGGTTGAAAGTCAGCTCTCCCTTTTCCTTGCCCTCTGCACAACCTCCAGCCGTGCAGCTCTGGCCTGTTTCTGGATCGTGATCTGGCACGGCTGGTGATGAGCTGTCATCAGGAGCAGCTGCCTCAGGAAGGCTTGAGCCTGCCACTGCTCTTGTCGAGGAGCATTGTGAAGTTGCTCTTCTGAGCCTGTCGCTCCTTGAGACACCTTTGTAGCAAGGATGCCTCGAGAGTGTGGCTTACGTTGTCTGAGGCTTGGGGGGAAGAGGAAGGAGAAATTGGTGAGGGGTGGGGGAGGAGGAGGCCATGCTCCAGGTCAGCAGAATTGTCAGGTACACAACATGGATATTGGTTCTGCCTTAGTCGAACATGGCAGTTCAGGTGCTGTGGGTTGCACTGTTGTAAGCAAGTCTAGTGTTTCCTCTCGGTCTGAGAGATGCTTAATTTCTGCTTCTTGTTCTCCTAGGTGCAAATGAAGGATTTCAGGTTCTCCTACAAATTTAAAATGGCTTGCAAGGAGGATGTGCTGAAACTCTGCCCCAACATCAAAAAAAAGTATGTAGCCCCGAGTGGCTGGAAACACGAAGTCCTCCATGGACATTGCTTTGCCTCTGCTGCCACAGTGTTCCCCTGCCTCAGGAACAGCTGTCCCTCCTGTTAGCCTTTGCTCAAATGTATGCAGTCAGCATTTGAGAGGGGAAGGTTCTTCTTTGGGAAAATACTACTTCTGCCTTAGTTGCAATGTCTAATGCTGCTGCTCTCAGGGGCCATAAGGATAGCGCTGCCTTGGAAAACCACACTCGATTTTTGCTATGTTAATAGCAATTTAGATTCCCCAGACTTTTAAGGCATTTACACCCCCCGTTGTCTTGTGCCACTCCTGGCATGTAGGATCCGTGTTGATCAGCTGATGAAGGGAGAAGCTCCACAAATGTCCAGCAGTCTTGTCCTCTGTGGAAGAGCAAAGTGTAACAAGCCTAATATGGCTTGCTACCAGTCACTGATAAAATAGCACTTGGAACACAAGCTCAGGTTTCTCTTGCCCTGTGCAGCACAGGGCAGTTGGCGAAGATCCTCTTTCTCTACGAGCCTCACGTCCCTGGGATTAAGAATGGGATTTTGAAAGCGCTTATGTGATTTGGAAGCACAAGTCGCAAGGTTTGAGGGGGATTGTACACAAGTCCCCCTGTGCTTGCGCTTACAGTGTCCTGTACAGAACCAAACTGCTGAGCCTGGATTCAGGGTTAGACCTCCTCAGACTGGCTATTTTAATCTGCCGTCCATTTGCACCCTTCTCTGATCATGCCTGGGCTGGCTCTGCCTTCTGATCAAATGCACTAGCCCTTTGTGCTGGTGTGGTGTTCCTGGGCCCTAGGCTGCTAAGCTACCCTGGTTTGTGGGGACGTGTTGTCCAGCACCACCCTTTGGCCCGGTGCACACAGCCAGGAGATGAGAGTTGGCCTAGGTATCAGTAGGGATCTGTTTCCTTGTCTGCAGGGTGGACGTGGTGATCTGCCTAAGCACTACGGTGCGCAATGACACGCTGCAGGATGCCAGGGAGCAGAGGGTCTCTCTGAAGTGCCGCAAACAGCTGCGCGTGGAGGAGCTAGAGATGGTAAGTGTGTCTGTGGCTCTTGGGCTTCTTTTATGCTGTTCCTGCGGGAATTGAGCTGATGAGATCCAGCCAACCCACTTCTGCTGGGATTGCCGAAAGGGACAACTTCTAAAGCAACACATCCAAGTCAGTTGCCTTTCAGACTCAGAGCGATGACTCAGTGTTCCTCACGCTGTCTGCCTGAGCCTCGCTCTCAACACTCAGCAGTTAGATGGCAGTACGTGGCCGCTGACTTCCCAGAGTCCCCATGAGGAACGTGTGAGCCACTTTACAGATGGGGAAGTTGAGGCATAGAAATGAAGGGACTTCTCCAAAGCCACCTCGTGAGTTGTTGGCTGAGCAAGGATTGTTTCTCTAGACCAGGCTGTTTGTTTCTCTAGACCAGGCTGTCTCCTAGTTCTCTGGCATTGGCCGTATTTACAGAAATAGCACCACAAGACGTTCCCCTTATCTTATTGAGTGTAAGTGGTGACTCTGGCTGAGCAGCCCCAACATGCTCAGTCTGTGGGTCAAGGGGAGAAACGAATGCCTGGCAGCACCTTAAATGAAAGAGCACGCCAGGATGGGTTCCCAGTCTTCTGGCCTTTCGTCTTCAATCAGAAGGATGTTGGCTATCTTGGACCCTGGTGTGGAGGGAAAGGGATGAATTGTGAGGGGTGCAGAGCAACCCTGCGCTTGTAGAGGGAGAAAGGGAACCTTCACTCGTGGTTAGCATTCTCTGAGACTGCTGTTTAAATGCAAAATAGCTGCTTCAATGAAGCAGTGTAAACTAGAATTTTGCTCTAACCCCTCGGCGGCTGGAAGACAGGCCCATGCCTTGGTCTGCTGCAGGGATTTGCAAACTGACTTTCACCACTTGCCCAGATCATATAATTAGGTAAGTGTGAGAATGAAGCTTATGGCGACTGTACATTTGGGACTGACCCGAGAGCCAGATCTTGTCAGTGTGACAAGGAAAGGTAGCCAGAGAGCAGCACCCAGAGTGGGGTATGCATCCAAGGTTGTACCTCGACATGTGACAACTGGGACTTTTCAACCCTGATCATTCTCTTCGTGGTACTCCAGTGCCTCCATTGTCTGCTGTGGTTACTATGCTGTAGCTCCTGGATAAAACCACTAACTGACTTTCTCCTGGAGTCTTGGCTAAGGGCTTGTTTTCCTGGGTCTCCTTATCTTACAGACGGAGGATATTCGACTGGAACCAGAGCTGTATGAGGCTTGTAAGAGTGATATCAAGAACAACTGTCAGAATGTGCCCTATGGCAATGCTCAGGTGATGATGGGTCCTTTAACTATTTACATGTCAGTATTTGGCCTGCTTTCCACAGACGTCCTTGTCTCACTAAGCGCAGAGCATCAGACTTGCCCTTGGGAGTGTGCTCCAGCTTTGGTGAGGATTAGAGCATCTTCGTGCCCAGCTCTTTCTGCATAGTGGAGCCCAGCCTAGCAGTTCGTTTATCCCCTTGGACTGTGACACTCAGTGATTTTGGAAATCTAGTTGAGTGGGAAAGTGTCATGACATTGTAGCTAAAACTAACAGGATTTAACAGTGGACTGAACACAGTGTGCTGGGCAATACAGCATTAGTGATTTGTTTAGATTGGGGTGGGTAAGAGGCAGCTAGGGGCCCACCAAACTACTGGATCCAGCCCGCAGCCACCTCACCAGCACCCTTGCTACACAGCGGCTCACATAACTGGCTGCTAATTGCTCTGGACAGGGACTGGAAGCTTCACATGCTGTCCCGGCCCCATAGCAAAAATCCCTCAGCTCCCATTGGCCAGTTTCCAGCCAATAGGAGTGAAAAATTTTGCTAGAGGCAGGGCCAGCAAGTGAAGCCTTCTCCCTGTGCTGGAGCAGAGCCATGTGGAGCAGCCAGCCTAGCAGACAGGCAGGGAGCCCGTCTCAGGTTCCTGCAGAGCTGCTGGCTGGGAACCACCAAGGTAAGTGCATCCCAGCCAAAACCTGCTTCTGGCACCCCACTCCTTGTCTCTCCCCCCCACCCCCACCACTTCCTGCTCCAGGTCACCCAAGCCCTCTGCATCCTCTCCCCACCTCCTCCAGGTCACAACTCCCTCCCAGACCTTGCACTCCTTCTGACACCCCTCCCCTAGGTCAGAATCCTCTCCTAGACCCTGGACCTCAAGCCCCTACCCCAGATCATAACACATTCCTTCAGCCAAACGCCCTCTCACCCCACGCCTCTTCTGCACCCAACTTCCATCCCAGACCCCACACCATCTCCAGAGAAGTGTGGCCCTTGACCACTTACCAAAAGCTTGGAGTGGCCCTGCCATGTAATGCTCACCCGCGTCTTAGGGGCTGCTAACCTCACAAGTGCAGATACTAGAAAATGAGCCCCCAGGAGAACACCAAGAATATACTGAGACACTACCGAGGGGAGGGTTTTTGCCACTAGTGCGCCTTTCTCACTGCTGTCGTGCCTCTGGCTGCAGATTATCGAGTGTTTGAAGGAGAATAAGAAGCGCCTGAGCAACCGGTGTCACCAGAAAGTATTCAAACTGCAGGAGAATGAGATGATGGATCCAGAACTAGACTACACGCTCATGAGGGTCTGCAAGCAAATGATTAAGGTAATTGCAGCGTGCTGGCTGGCTCTGAGGCCATGGGTAACTTACCTAGAATGCTCAGGGGATTCATGCTTGGGACACAAGATGGGGGTCTCTTTCAGCAGTGCTCCGTGAGCAAAGTAGTCTGGATACAAATAAATCTATTGCCTGGAGTATTGGCTGAGATGGGGGGGAGAGGGCAGAGCCCATGTGCTGCTGAACACTCAGATCTACTGTCATGCTGCTGCGCCAACTCCCTCTGTCGGAGGCCATGGAGTTGTCAAGAACGCCAGTTGGCAAAACTCTCCGTTCACTGCGAATACAGCCCCATGGCAGATAGGGTCCATCCCTGTAACTGCTCCGGCCACAGACAAGATTAAATCGTCCTCAGCAGGGCACAGACACTGGGCTCGCAATGACAACTTGCAGGCAGGAGAGAATGTCAAACACATGGCTGCATAGCCGCAGGCGCCTCAGGGCACCGAGTTAACAAAACAGCCACTGGCTCCATGTCTGGCTGTGGCTTAATGTCTGGCTGTAGGGCTGGTGGTAAAGATCAGTAGCACGGCCGAAGGGAGTGGCAAGTTACTGCACTGTGGGAGCCTCAACTGCAGCTCCTGCAACTGGGGACTCTGTAAGAGCAGGCCCCACTCGAGCAGTGAAGACTCCATAGAGGTTGTGTCAGCCTGTTGCTCCTATCACTGTGCACAACACTCAGCTCTCCAGTGCTGCATAGCCTGTAGTGAGCACTGCCTAGTATTGGGCTGTCTGTACAGCCCCTCTTGCACAGGACAGACTGTAAGAGTGATCCCCAGCTTCACCTATTCCAGTTTCTGCAGCTCACAAGGCATGAGGGAAGATGGGTATGAGACCAAGTTGGAAATAATGGAAGCTTTGCACCAAAACGGGGAATGAGAATACCACGAGTGGGGAGGTAACGGCTCAGTTAGCAGCAAGTGCTGCGTAAAGTGGCATTCCTCTCCCTGATCTCCCCTGCCAGACGGGCGGATATAGGGCAGGGCGAGCGGGGTGGCCACCCCGGGTCCCACACTTCAAGAAGCCCCGCGGCAAAGGGGGGCCCCATGAAATTGTGCTGCACAGGGCCCTGCAAAATGGCCATCTGCCCCTGCTGCCAGAGCACAGGGGCGAGGAAAATGCTGTCAGTGGTGAGTATTGGTGAGGGAGAGCCAGGTGCGGTCTGGCTGCTTAGATTCCTGGGGGGACATGTGGTGATGCGTGTGCTGTAAAACGGGGATTCTCTTTGCAGAGGTTCTGCTCCGAAGCTGATTCGAAGAACATGTTGCAGTGTCTGAAACAGAACAAGAACAGCGAGGTGATGGACCCAAAATGCAAACAGATGATCACCAAGCGACAGATCACACAGAACACAGGTACCCAGGGCCTCCGCTGTACAGCCTTACTGGGGAGAAGGAGCCTGTTATCTGCCTGGACTAATGAATGGTCTGCACTAGGGATGTTAAATATCAATTAATTGACTAGTCGAGTAACCTCATGAATTCTTATCGGTTAATCGATTGGTCTATAGTCCCCGGAGGCGGGGCCAGCAGCCAGAGCACTCTGGCCTCACTCCCAAGAAGTCTCCTGTCACTCCACACTGCTGCCTCTGTATCCAGGCAGGCGGGAGCTGGTCCATGAGGGGAGTCAGTTTAAAAACCAGCTCCCCTTGCAGACCGGCTGCCTGTTGCCCTGTGCTGGTGCCTCTATCAGAGACAGCAGCATGGGGTGCCAGCCCTCGTGGTGGGGGGGGGGGGGGGCAGTGTCTGGGTTCCCGGACCCAGCGCAAGCAGAACTGAGCCAGGCTGAACTGAACCCGGATCCTAATACACTTTAAATGCAGAACTGCAGCAGGGCTAGGTCCCGGACCCGGTGCAAGCCAGGACTGAGCTGAGCAGCTGGCCAGCCTGCTAAAAAATGTACTGATGGGGGAGAGATGTGTGTAGTCTATAGCATTCACCTGTACGCTTTTGCTTTATCCCTAGTCTGCACAGACTTTACTGCTGATACCTTCCCTTCGTTTAACTTCCCTTCACACAGAGCCTGAGCCAGCGTGCTCTCCACCTGCTCACAGAGTGTCCTGGTGATGACTGGTTTTGCTTTGTCCTGAGGCTTGTACTGAGTGGTCAATTTCTTCATAGTAAAAAGGGTCAATTTAGCACTTTCAAAGTGCTGTAAAAAATGTGATCCA